TTGAATAGTGTTCAGAAAGCACGGATAATGTTATGAAAAACTCAGCTTCTCTGATGGATATCGATCATTGTAGAAGGTTTGTTAGAGCAGAGGGAGCCTTTGGCTTGGAATCTGGGAGATGCTCCTTTGAAGCAGTTAGTTTGCTGTAGGAGTCACAGCACTGATTCTAGGGGTACACGGCTCAAGTTTAGTCCAGGCCCTGCCACATCCTAACTCACACATGTTGAGCAAGTAACCTAATCTACTTTAGGTTCAATTTCTACATGTGTTAAAGGAAATCATAATAAAACCCAACTGGTGGATTTATAAAGACTAAATGACAATTAAATGCCACATTTAAATACTCAGTGCTTTAGCATGGCTGCGCTAGCCACCTGCCTCAAAGTATTTTGAGAAAGACAAATAACCACTCAATATATGTCTAAAGATAAAAGGTTTTTAAAAATCAGCAAAGTCATATTTAATTAAATTCCCCCAGATGAAGGAAAAACATCACCACAATGAAGGCAACAGAAGGAAGAAGTTAAATGGAAACTAATTTGAATAATTTCAATATTTGGATTCCTCCTTACATTAAAACAGCCACTAAAAGCTGCGGCATAACTGTCTTCTAGCTAACAAGTTTCTGAAGTTTGATTCATCCTCTTCCCAAATATCTGACCCTTTCCTTAGGTACATGTGAGTTTGCAATTTAAAACAAGCCTTGGTACATTTTTTAGAAACAAAGCAAAACATTCTGTAAATAGAGGAATTATTATGCTGAGTACACGTGCCAGAAGGATTTCAATGAAAACTATGGGGACTGTAAGAGTAGAACAAAATGTCCAAGAGGAAATTTTTTAAAAACTGACAGTAACGTCCTAAGTCATGTGTTTCTGTGACACGAGAACCACCCCAAGCAAACAAACTTAAGGTTTGTGGGCAGAGTACAAGTTGCCACCTAATGCAAAGGCGGAAAGGGCATAAGCTGCAAAGGAATGATTTCAGCTAAAGGAACTACTGTGGGCACGAGGCAAAAATGTACTATCAATCCACTTTCTTTCCCACAAATAAAAGTTACCAAGCTTATGCCTACAGAGTCTATTTCTCTCATTCTATACAACCTCCTTTAGTTAAGACATTCCTGAATTACTCCACAAGATGCAACCCGAGGAAGTACCGTATGGAGTACATGACTTTCCAAGCTAAAGGAGGCCTCCAAAGTTACCTAATTTAGTATCTCTTATCTTTGTGAGGGGTCAGTAGCTTCTGTGGGAAGCAGATGAAAGCTGGGGAACCTTTTCTCAGGAATTCAGATAAGGCACAAAGAGGTATAATTTGGAGTTCCATCTTGGAAAGGTTTGAAGTTTATGAATCCTAGATTAAAAATGATTGCTCATGCCCTTGTTCCTCATTTAAAAGCCAGAAACTGAGTCCCAGAAAAATTGAGGGATTTCATTGTCCCAGGTCACATAGCTAGGTTAGAGCACAACTGGTATTCAAACAGTCCCATGCGCTCGAGGCCAAGAGGCTTTGCCCCACTGTTCTTTGGAGAGAGCGGGTGATTCTCTATACTCTTAAAACTCAAAAGTCACTCATGTTGCTGTCTGAATTAGTAAAATTAATGAATTATAGTTTAAGGATAGGAACACAGATTCTTCTCAACCATGAAACAATCCCACATAAGAAGTAATATGGCCTTAGCAGTCCTTGGAACATCTATGCAAATACCTATCACCTGGGATGCTGGCTGGAAACAGTAAGGTTCCCCCACCCGTATCCGCAGGCTGAGATTCAGTATTTTGAGGTGCGGTCCTGACAGCTATCCTTTTAAGAAATACCTTAAGAGATGGTTCTCAAATCATATCCCACAAGCACGGGTTTAAAGCAGTCACTTTCATGCATTTTTCATGTTTGACCATTTTTTCTTATTTCGCAACTCAAATACATAAATAAAAGTAGAGTGACTGGGGGCCCTCGGAGGCCACTTGAGAAGCGCTGTTCTAAAAGACACCGCGCTGGCGATAGGACCAGGGGCTCCTCCTCACCACTCTCGGGCCTTGGTTTCCTTATTTATAAAACAGTTTGTCTAGAATGTCTCTAAATTCTTTTTCAGCTCTGGTATCCTATGATCCCACAAACACCACTACTACCACCACTAATAGCTAATTATTCAGCAGGCACGTGCTATGTTCCCAGTACTGTTCTATTAACTCATTTAATTCTTGGGATCACCCTGTGAGGTACAGTACTATTAATTAATTATACTGATGAGGAAACCAAGGCACAAAGAGGCTATATGATAATAACTGGTGTAAAAATGTATACATACGTTCTCTTATTTAATCTAACCCCCAAAATTGGGAACTGAGAACTGAAATTTAGAAAGGTAGTTACTTATCCACGGTCAAAAGACTCGTATTTAAAACTCAGGTCAGCTTGATTCCAGAATCCATTCTCTTAACAAATATATTCTCACAGGTTGGGTTACATGTTATACCATGAAATCTTTTAAATGGCATCTATTTGTGTGTTGTTTCTGCAGTGTTAGTGATATGCGTTCATATATTCATAGAGGCAGCTTATCTCCCACGTTGAGATCAGAAATTATTTTATATTTTTCTGTTTCCTATGCTATGAAATACAAACTGGGTATTGTATAGGTCTTTATTCAATTAGAAGTGATCTTCTGAGTTCTATTTTTTTGTTAACTTGCCTTTTTTCAATAATCTGAAATAAACATGCTATTTTCACTAGATCAGCTATTGAAATAAAAAAATGTTCCCCTGGGTTAGCTGCTAGAAGGGAAATAAAACCCCTTTTCAGTTTAATGATTTCATAGTTGTCCTTGGGGCAAGGAATTATATTTTAATGTCAATATTAATAAGCATCTCTTTATAGGCACTTTTCTCTCTAATGTGTCTTGCCATTTTCCACTGTATCAATGGAGAGGTGATAGACTGAAAATAAGTGGAGGGTTAAAGACAAGTATGGAAAATCTTGGAAGGTGCTTATAACACCTATGTATGCCACTTGAAAACATCAAGTTGACATTCCACATTCCACAGGAAGTGGTTCTCATTAAGTAGTTCTCCTGAAACACTTAGCAAAAAATAATTTTTCTTACTTTTGGATCTGTTCAGCCTGTGGTCAGATACACCATCATCTTCTGACTGTGATTTATTGCCCACATACTTGAAATTTGCTCCCCAGGACCACTGCAGACGCTCCAGCTTGTTCTCGGCTCCCCAGGTATTCCAGCAGCCCCTTGAGGGCTCTAATTACCGAGGTGTGACCCACTTAGGCATATATTGGAGACTCATATTAATCTGACATCCATACAAATCTGTACAATATAGAAAATACTAGTCATAATAAAGACTGAGAGTAAATCAAAGTTAAGACACTTTGGTCTCTAAAGTTTGACAGAACAGGCCATGTATAGCAGTTCTTCAACTTCCTTTCAGAAATGTCTCAGCAAAGTAGACGCCTGGAGCCCTTCCTCAGACCTATTGAGTCAGGAGGGCCCCGGCACCTGTAAGTTCAATAAACACCACAGGTGATTACAATTCTTGCCACAGTGGAGCACAGCCTTCCTTCCTTCATCAAACAAATATTTAATGAGTGCCTTCTACCAACATGAAATTTAGAATACAATCATGTATGTTCTTTTTAATACAGTTTCTCAGGTCACAAACTAATAAGCAACTTGAGGAAAAGGATCATGATCTATGTTTTGTTCTTTTCATTTGTTTGTTTGTTTCTTTTTAAACCCTTCCCTCTAATCTTCATCACTATACTCAATACCTAACTGGGCACACAGTAGGCAAATGTTGCACTGCTTGCATCACCAGCCCCTCAAATAAAACATGTTGCTACATATTCAGATGTTGCATCAAAGAACACTTTTAAACCTACACCCTCAGGATGTCCTTCTGGGCAATCTTCGTAAATTGTGTGTGTATGGATCTGTGTACGTGGCGTGCACATATGTTCCTAATTCTGCACTGAGGCTAAGGTAGCAGGATTCTGATCACGGCATTAAACTTCTGTTTTGAAGTTCAGCTATGAACCCAAAGTAAAACATATAAGCCAGGAAATGTATATCAAGAGTACAAAAGATAAATATCTTACTATTACTTTTCTTTCTTTTCTGCACATTACAAGAACCCTCACTTCTTTCTTAGCTTCACATCACCTCTGTTCTCTAAACAACATTCAAATAACTAAGTGCCCTTGGCTATTTTGAACCAGGGACTTACACAATGCTTCTCAAATGTTGTTCATCCTGAGAACTACACTCTATAATTCAAATGAACACATAAATCTCCCCGAGACTGTCACAGTTGGGAACAGCGCATTCCATTCCAGATGTGGTATTTTGCCCCCTGCGTCTGTGGTCTGCATTTTCAGAGGAACATGGCATGAAGCCACAATGCCTAGGGGCACCAGTGAGAAATGGCTTTTGCTGAGGGAAGAGTTCCAATGTGATAAATGTGGTAGACGAGTCTGGTCAACATTTGAGCAACAAATCACTCCTCCAACTATGTCCAGTGAGGGAGCAAACGTGAGCCCACATGTGACAGGCTCTTCCAGCTGCGGGAAAGGGGAGAATGGCCGTCTCAGATCTCCTTTGGTTAGGTTTGTTGGAGAAAGGTAGGAAGCGCATGGCGGGGGGATAAGATGCTGTGGAACCCACTAAAGAGCTAATGGGGAACAAGGTAGTGTGGGCACATCAGCACACAGGGAACTCTCCAGTGTCCTTCTCTGCCTGTGAATGAGACAAAAAGACCAGCCAAGAAACGAAGTCAATGCAGCGATGTGCCATGGGCCAATTTTACCAAGAAGCTCTTTAAGACCTTGAATATCTTTCTCCTTGCTCTCTTTGTAAACCCTTTAGTTAACTCAATGATTTCTTTCCTTATCTTAGAAAAATACCAACTTGGAGCAAGAAGAAATGAAATCTTTTTGAAAAAGCTTAAGAAAAAGAGCCATGGCTATGGAAAGCGTTCCTTCCTTACCAGTTTGGTGACGTCCTTCACATCATCAGTGACACGGTTCACGCAGATCCCGGTAGTTCTGACGAGAGGGTTGAAGAGGAGCAGTTGAAGATAAATGCAAGTGATAATCCAAGTCTAAATGAAAAGAGAAAACTGCTGGTAACCATCAATGTACATCTGTAATCACTTAAACTATTAACATCTTATGCTTTAATATGGAAAAATGCAATTTGCCAGAAATTTTAAATTGGCTTCAATACAGTTAAATGCTGATCATTTAAACTGTGCTGACCAAAAAAGTTTTAAAAAATTCTCAGTTAAATGTGGTTTGGATTTTTTCACTTCAATGACATTATTGTTAACTTTTGTCAGAAGCTTTCTACAGCCAATTTCTAAGAGCAACTGGAAATAACTTGTAGCAACATGCGAAGGATTTATCACTTAAAGTGTTTTCTAAAAACTAGGGAGTGCATTAAATTCAAACCTGAAGGCAGCATATGAAACTTTCTCTACTTTAAAAGAGGATGGTTTGGCAAGTAGCAGCATAACTCTGAGCTGTGTTTTAATCTAATAGTTCACAATAGTATAGAAGTTCAAGCGAGGAAGAGAGAGATATTTTTAGATCTAGGATAGAATTTAACCTAATTCGTGAGAGTTCAAAAGAATCATAGTTTTGAATCAAAGCTGTTTAGCTATTTAATAAGGAAAAGTATTTCCCTAGTCAATGAGAACACATTCTTGAACCCTAGCATGAAGCAATCTCTCGCACACACATACTCGCACACTCTTTGAAAATAACACTGCAAACCATGCATTACAGCAACTTTTATGCATGACTTATTTTTCTTATGACACTACATTTTAAGTTTTTAAGAAATTGGGCATCTGATTTTTTTTCAGTATCTTTACAACATATGACACAGTACCTTGCATCTAAAAAGCTCTTAATAAATATTTTGCTAAATGAATCAGTGATCAAGATAAAAATTGTCTAATGCTTCACAGAGAATACTTATGTACTGAATACATATTATGACAGGGACTGTACCAGTCACAGGGAAACAAAGGTGATAGAGATGCCCCTGAAACACAGAGGCAGGTGAATAAAAAACACCCACACCCTGTGATAAATGCTTTGGGAACACAAAGGAGGAAACAATTAATCAATTAATCTTAAGGGGGAGAATCCGTGGCAGGAAGACAGTGCCAGGAAAAGCCAGAGAAAATGTGACTCTGGCTGGATTTTAGAGGACAAGGAGGAGTTTGCAAGAGTTGACAAGAAAAGGAGGACAATTCCAGGAAAAATAAACAGGACGAACAAAGCATGGGGATATGAGGATATTTCAAAATGTAAGAGATCCTTTATGAGTTACATCTGTCTATGGTGTCTTAAAATTACACAAAAGCCTACTTGCACGTGGCTAGAAATCTTTCCTATTTTATGTAGCCAGCCACATATTAAAAGGAACAAGATTATTGTTTTAACTAATATCTGCAAACTAACTAGATATTACACTATTACACTGGACCAAATGATGATAATCATTTAGTAAAATTTCTAAGACTACAATGCTATCAACATAATAGTGGCTTGTAAACAAAATCAAAACCCTTTTATTGTTTTACTATTGTGATCTTTTAGCAGTAATCCTGCTTCATTTTGTTTAAGGCTATTTTGAGTACTATGGAGTCACACCCTTCATACTATCATCTTCTTTGGACCAGAATGAAGACTAAATTGTGTAAGCAATTTCTGTTTGGGGGATTCTTCTTAATGGGCAATGGCAACATATAAAATCACCTCTAATCACTTAGTCTTCCTTCATATGTGTAAATATAACTGATTAAACTCAAGCTTTCTTTTACATTATAGTTGTTAAGACCTACCTCCCTACCCCCTTTGAAATACATTTCTCCAAGACTCTCTTTCGTGACATGACTTGGGAATCCTCCCGAAGGATCTCAGTAAATGGCCAGTCTCACTAATGGCCATATTCATATTCTAGGCTGTAAGAAATATAAAGACAGAAATTTTGTTACTTCTTTTCACCATGCCCTATTCCTAGCATTAAAGAAACACTAAACAAACATCTGTTCACTCACTCGTTCATTCAGAAAATATTTATTGTGCATCTAGTATGTGCCAGGCACTGTTTAAGATTCTTAGGACATATTAGTAAAAAAAGAAGGGGGGGGTGCTTATCTTCGAGTGAGGGAAAGTAGACTATGCCAATGAACAATAATATTCTGTAACTAAATTACACAGAATGTCAACAGATGTTTATTGCTATGAAAAAAGAAAAATTAGATCAAGGTAAAGGAAATTGGGATTAAAATATCTACTCTGCTGTACTTACTAGACTAAATACTAGACATGTACTACACTAAGACACACTGGTGTGATCTTAGGTTCACGTTGGCAATCATAGTCACGAGGCGTCAGAGGCTTCCCTCAGCACCAAGGGTAGTACTGAGCTTTAAGACAGGGCACAGGACAGGCAACGGAAAAGCAGGCCCAGCACCGGCAGAGCGGAGGTCTCGACTCCTGGCATGTCCGTATATCAGTGAACATTTGTGATGTGCATGGCAAGGACATGACATTGGGTGGACAGAACCACTTTTGGGGCTTAGACGTTGCTAACTAAATAGCCCCTTCAAGAGCATGTGATGAGCTTCCATTCATTCTCCAACAAGCTACTTCCCACTAGTAACAGCCTCAAGAATAAGGTACATACAGGTCACTCGTTCTGCTACCTAGATATGCAGCAGGATTCTCTTGGAGTATAGCTATACTCAAACATAGCTTAAGGTCTTGTTGCAGGGAGGATTATAGAGAGGGCCAAATCCCCAGGCATCCCTAAGTCCAGAGAAAAGGCCTCAGGGCTGTTACCCTTTTCTGTCCAGGACTGCAGTGCATGGGGAAACAGCTTGAAATTTTAAGCAGGGTGATATCTGGTTGTGCCCCATTGAGAAGGCAATATTTTATTAAAGCTTGGATGGAGCTGAGGAAGTGATCTGTGAAGGTATCTGTGGGAAGAATAATGCAGAGAGAAAAGCTGGTACAAAGGCCCTAAGGTCTATTACAAGAATCTGCTTTGTTTAAGGAACAGCAAAAGTAAACTGGGGCAGGTGACATTATCAGAAAGAATGGAGAGGCAGGTCATATAGTGTCTTGATCCCCAATGTTCAGATTTTTGACTTTTGCTATGAATGAAACAGGATTCATTGCAGGATTCTGAGCAGAGGAGAGATATGAATATATTTGAAAAATTTTAAATGTCTTGGAAGAATATTTACTTGCTTTTCTTCTTCAATTTTATCTGGAAGCGAATGAAAATCCACTACCAGTCCCAAACATAAGGTATGCCACTGAGAAAAAGACTCAGTCACGTCAAATAATGTGTGCAACCCTTGTCTAGGTCCACTTCTGTCTTTTCTTCCAACCCTCCAGTTATGTATAAACCTCTGTGCAAAATAAAAATTAACCCTGTCTGTCATAAAAAAGAATGCTTTGGCAGTTTCTTACAAAACTAAACATACTTGTACCATATAATTCAGCAATCACGCGCCTCGCTATCTACCCCAAGATGCTGAAAACCTGTGTCCAAACAAAAACCTGCACACTGATATTTTTAGTAGCTTATTCATAATTACCAAAGTTTGGAAGCAACTATGATGCCCTTCAGTAGGCGAGTGAATAAATAAAATGTAGAACATCCAGACTAGGAATATTATTCAGTGCTAAAGAGATGAGCTATCCAGACATTAAAGACATGGAGGAAATGTAAAGACATATTACTAAGTAAAAAAAAAAAAAAGTCAATCTGAAAAAGCCACATACTTGTGATTCTGACTATAATGACTTTTTTGAAAAGGCAAAATTATGAAGACAGTAAAAAATCAGAGGTTGCCATGGGTTTGAGCAGTGATGAACAGCAGAACACAAAGGACTTTTAGGGCAGTAAAAATACTCTGATACGATAATGTTGGATATATGTCATTATACATTTGTCCAAACCCATAGAATGTACGCCACCAAGAGTGAACCCTAATGTAAACTAGGGACTCCAGGTGACTAAGATGTGTCAATCTAGGTTTATCAGTTGTAACAAATGTATCACTTTGGTGGGGAACACTGAAAATAGGGGAGTCTGTGCTCCAAAAAACTAAAGTCTTAAAAAAAGACTACCTTGACTACTGTGGTGAGAACACCCTTTAGGTTAACAATAAGTGAAAACAAAGAGACTAGTTAGGGGTTAGTGTTCTAATCCAAGCAAGAAAAGATTGTAGCAATGCATCGACTAGATTAGATTCTGGATGTCTCCCTCAAGGCTGAGCCAGTAGATTTCTCAACAGTTCGAACGTGATTTGCAAGAGTCAAAGGTGACTCCAGTGATTCTGGCCTGAGCAATAGGAAGGGTGGTATTGCCATCAACTGATATGAAGAAGTCTGAGGATACAGATTTGGAGTGCAGGTCAGAAGTTGAGTTTTGAAATGTCTTTGAGATATCCTACTGATGACACCATGTCAGGATATTTGTATCTGGATTAAGGAGGGAAGTTTGGGCTGGATATATCAAGATGATAGTATTTGATGTGTAAATGGAATTTAAGCAAAAGAGAGGATGAGATCATCAAGGGATTGAGTGCAAGCAGAAAAAAAGAACAAGGGACTGATCCCAAGGTGCTCTAACCTTAAGAAGCTGGCAAAAGATTGAGAACTCGCAAAGAAGCCTGACAGAGAAGCCGAAAAGTAGCAGGAGGCCAAGTTGTTGCGTTTTTTTTGTTTTGTTTTGTTTTTCCAAGTACCGTAAGCCAAACTATGTCAAATACTCACAACAGATCAAGTAAGCTGAGGACTGAGAACTGACCTCTGCATTTAGAGAATAGACATCGTCGGTGACATTAATAAGAACACTTTATTGAAGTAGCTATGGGAAAAAGCCCGTCTGGACCGGATTTAAGAGAACATAAGAATAATTACAAACAGTGAACATAGGTCATTTAAAGGGCCGTCCTTCAATAGGGAGCAAACAAACACAAACAAAGTGGGGTGACTGTTGGAGAGGACAGCTGGGGGTTATTTGTGAGATGGCGGAAGTACCAGGAGGTCCGTATGCCTGTGGGGCTGATCC